TGTCCCGCCCCTCATCATCCTCACTGCCACACCTGGGGCTGTCCCGCATGGGAGGGGAGAGAAGGGCGGGTGGAGCCACAGGCTGGCGCGCGGGGAGAGGAGGCGGGGCGAGCTGGGGGGCGGGGCCGGCGCGAGCAGGAGGGCGGGGCCGGTGCCCGCGGCGCTTCGCTCTGGGCTCTGGGGTTCTTTTGGGCTGGTTTTGGGTGCGGGTTTTAGGGGACTGTGCACACCCTCCCCTGGTCACAACCCCGCCCCAGCTCGCTGCACCCTACTGCACTCCCCGCACCCCTTGCTCAGCTCCGCGAGGATTTGTGCCTCCTCTGAAGGTGGCAAGTGTCTGCAAAGCGAGTCGGGAAGCCAGAGAGCTGCAGCCCCCGGGCCCCGCCGCGGCTTCCCCGCCGTCACCCGGCACCTCCCGCACGTCCCGCCCCGCAGCGCCGCTCCCGCTGCCGCCCTCGAACACAAGGAACGAACCCCCTTTCCCCCAGCACAGGCCGGTCCCTCCCCGGCAGCCTCGGCAGCGCCGGGAGCGGCCGCAGCCCCCAATGACGGGCGGGGCGCGCCGGGAGGGGCCGCGCGGGGCGAGTCCCGCGGCTGCGACCCCGCGGGGAAGGGACCCCCGGGCCCGCCCCGTCCGCCACCGCCCCTCGCCTCGCCCACAGTTTTAACATTATAGAAACAAGATTTAATCTGGAGTGCTGCAACCCCTCTGTCCTTGCAAACCGCCTCCCTGCAAAAAAGGAATCAATTTCCATAGACCTGTTATTTTTCTCTTTTTAATGACCACGTTGCTAAAGTCAGGGAAATACAATCAGCATTCCCTGATCACAAACACCATCACTTCTACATCCACCTGCGATCAGGGGCCGATGGGCAGCAGCCTGCCCTGGATGGACTGCGGGGATGGTGTGAAGGCCACTGTTCCCCAGGTTTGAAGGACTCTGGCCATGATCCCCGGCCTGTGGACAGAAAGCCCAGAGCCAACAGGAACTCCAGCCAGCTGCAGGCAGATGTTACTCCATCCCAGTTTGCCGGGGGTAGGGATGAAGGTGCCCTTCCCCGTTCGGAAGTGGAAGTCGTCCCCTGTGCAGAGCCCGCTCTGATCCTGGGCCTCATGGGAGCCAATTCCCTTGTCACAGCCCGCTTCCTGCAGAGAAGAAAGGGAAAGATTGCACATAAGGAAGAAGACATTCTTCCCTGGGAGGGTGGGGAGGTGGCCTGGCACACAGAAGCTGTGGCTGCCCCATCCCTGGAAGTGGCCAAGGCCAGGCTGGAGGGTCTATTGGAAGGTGTCCCTGCCCGTGGCAGGGGGTGGAAGGAGATGATCCCTGAGATCCTTTCCAACCCAAACCACTTCAGGATCCCAGGATGATTCCATGCTCTCTCTCTGCATTTATTTGGCATCATTTCCTCTCAAAAACAACATCTCCAATTTAGTTGATTGCTAAAGCCATGATTTTAAAATCATCAAAAGGGACTGGAAAACACAGAAATCATTCCTACACCCACCAAATCATTATTAATTGGAACCCGATTCCCTCATCTCCGTCCTTGTTTTTCTTGGCTGGAAAACCTGATGATCCCCACTGGCTATTTTTAGGGTGGTTTTCTTCCACAGCTCCATTCTCCCAGCTGAAACCTCCTGGCATATTCAGGGCTTATTTGGAGGGAAGCCCCTCTGAGGTATTTCCTCTCGTGGCAATTCTGTGGGATGAAGAAGTAAAAAAAGCACGTCAAGAGCTCCTTCTACCCCCTTCCTTCGCAAACACCCTCCCAGTTTGTCCTGGGCGGCTCCATCCCCCCAGCACCCGCACCCGACGCTTCGGCTCCGCTGGGAAAGGGACAGCAAGTGCAGAAGCAAGTTCAGTGCTGTGCAGGGGCTCCCTGGGGAACAGCACTTCAGTGGTTTAGTCCATGGCCTTTCCTGCTGCCCTCCCTCCTGGAGGCAGAGGACGACCCCGCCATTGCTCTCTCCCTTGTTTCTCCCACACTCGCAGACCCAGGTCCTGCTCTTTTGGCCCCACTTTTCTTACCAGACCCGGCATCATTTTCCAGGGTCCCCAGGAAACTTCTGCACTTCACCCATTGCTAAGCGCAGAGCACAGGACAAGGGAAGGACAAATTTCTCAGCACCCACCACCTGGAATTTTCCTTCTCCACAACACACTCCCGTTCCCGCTGTCTCCGGAGGTGCCCACATGAGTCCTCCTTGCCCCAGCCCAGCCAAACTGACACATGCACAGGAGAAATCATCAGGTCTTGCTTGCACAATTCCCGACCCTAACCCTTGCCTGTCCTGCCCAGAGCTGAGGGAAGTCTGACGGAATATTAATAAACCACCTTTGTTAAGAGCAGTCATCAGCCCGGTCCTTCAGGCTTTGCAGGGTTTGTAGGGAACAGATCCAAATTCCAGTCCTACCTTTAAATTTCTAACAGCTTTCCTCAGAGAGATTCTGGACAGTAACACATACAATGGAAAGAAAAGACTGCACAAGGAGTAACAGAAAGTTTGCCACAAAGAACAGAAGTTCCTGTTCTCCCTCATCAGGCTGGGACTGTAGGACCCAGTCTTTGCCACCAAGAGACCAGAGCATTGTCATTAAGACTTAAACCTCCCCCCATGGGTGTTTCTCAGAGAACTGGGCCAGCACTGAGCTACTCCCATGTGCCTGCAGTGCTTTGAGGAGGGGCAAGACAACCTCCCACTTCTGCTTGGAAGAGAATGAAAAGTCATTCCCCTTCTCTCTCTCTGACCCAGCACCAAAGCAGTCCTGTAGGATAACACCGGACTAGGCCTGATTCATCTGGGAAAGAAAAAAACCCTAAACAAACAAACAAAACCACCCGAATTTCAAGGTAAAAATATGCTGCTTCCTGAACAGGAGCACACAAAACACATTGAAACCACAGAGAAAATGACAAACCAGAAAAAAAAAAAAAAGGCAAAAGAAATGCTCTGCCTGCCTTGATATGCTCTCTGCTTGATCATTCCAAAGGAAATTCTCCACAGATCAGAAGCAATTACCAATCATTTTTCCTCTGTAACAAATGAACGACTTGGGTTTCTGCTGAGGGGCTGGACATGTCCAGTGAGGGTTCAGGGTCTGGTGGGTTGTTTATGGCAGATCCTGACCGGCCCAGGCCAAACCCAACCATCCCCATTGCTGCTCCATCCCACATGGAGAATATTGATACTGTATAGAAATACTCCCCTTCCCTGCTACTTCATCCTTCCTTACACATCCGTGGAGCAGGTTTTCTCCACCCTTTGTTCCCAGCAACAGCTCTCCAGCCTGAATCCCAGCTCCCATAGACACAAACTAAACACACCTAAGGCGATGGTTCCATCAGCACCTGGAATTCCAAGCTCCCCGTTCCCTGGAATGCTCATCCCAACACTCACCGCAATCTCACCTCAGCCCACAGGCTCTCTGTCCTCAGAGGCAAACACAGCCTGCTCTGGCACCGCGTTTCCTCTCATTCCTGGTCTCCTGCAAACCCCCAGAGAAATCCAATCCCTCAGGCCCTGCATCCCCGCACATGAGGGTAACTAGAGTTTGACCCGGATCCCAGTGCTCTGGACAAGTGTGTTCCCACGAGCACATGCCCATGGCTCCATCCAGCCCATCCATCCCTCCTTTCCCTCCCGGCAGTCCCAAACCCTCCCCCAGCTCCCCTGCATCTGTCCCACGGCCCAGCCCAGCTCCAGGCTTTCTTCCAGCGCTGTGGCAGCCCCAGCCCTGGCAGAGCTGCAAACACCCCCCAGCTCGGCCCCCCGGGCTCCTGAACCCCCAAACCAATGCTCAGGCTCACCAACAGGGACCAACCTGGCCCTCTCAGCACAGTCCAACCCCAGAGCTCTGTGACCCCACGCTCACCTGGCCCTTCGCCCCTTCCTCTCCGCCCTTCCCAGCACACACGGCAAGGACCAGCCTGCAGTGGGAAACACAGCCAGTGCCCAGGGAGCTAATGCCAACAGCCAGGAGAAGAGAAACGTGTCCCTCTGACTTACCCCACCCCACAGGCAGGACCAGGTGCCCCCAGCACCGGTCAGTGGGGCTGGAGCCTATTGCCTTTGGCTGCTCACACCCCAACACTTGTGGCATTGCTGGACCCAAGTCAATGATTTTCCCTGTCCTGAAACAGAGGAGAACAAGAAAATTAAGTGCACTGGGAAAGTCAAAGGCTCTTGGCTTTCACCTTTCTCTTCTGATTACTCACTACTGGCATTTCTTCCCTAAAACCTGCTCTTACCTAGGAAAAAGTGAGCAATTCACAGAGTTGCTGTTTCTATCCCAGCTTCCCAAAGGATTTCTCTCTCCTGGCAGCGGCGGCAGCAGCAGCAGCAGCAGCAACGCTCCCCACGAAGCCCTGACTGACGATGGGAATTGACACACAACAAGCCAAGAGCATTAACTTGGCACCAGAACACTCCACAAGAAACCAATTTACAGTCACCTTTGTCTCATCCCCCCCGCGCAGGCAGAGGCTTTGGGATTCCAAGGCAAACCCCGAGAGGCCCAGAGAGCAGCAGCCCCTCAGCCCCACCATGACCTCCCCCGGGGTCCCCCGGCTGGGAACCGGGCTACCCAGCCCCTGCTGTGCAGCACAGCACGCGGGGGGATGACTTTTGGCATCCCTCCCTGGCCGCTGCAGAGCAATGCAGGCATCGGGGCCAAGTCCTGTCTGACCCCCAGGCACTGCAGACAGTTCAGCCCCAGCAGCAGCAACGGGCTGTTCTGCCTCTTGCTCCCCTCTCATTTGGAACTGAACGGTGAGGAACAAGCCCCGGGCACAATCAGCACCGAGCAGCAAGGCCTGGGCTTGCCAGAGGCCTGGGCCTTCCTAGTCCAGGCTCTGGGCTTCCTTTGCTTTCTGCCACTACAATTCTCCTGCCCCAGCAAGTGTTAAAAGACAGGCTGCCCGGTGAGACGTGCCCCAAAACAGCAATCAGTTCCAAGGGCCGCACCTAGAAACCCTGCCGCGAGGCCCCTGGAGAAGCCAAGGGGAGCTGGGATTCCCTGGAGTCCCAGGGAACCGAGGGGAAGGTGGCGAACGAGCAGAAAGCAACCCCCCCTAGCTGCTTCTCCCTGCAGCCCCCACGGCAGGTGCAGCTACCCTGAGATTTCATGCCCCCTGTGTCTCTTGCGAGCTCAACGAGTGAACAAAGGGGTCCTGCAAGATCCGCTTCCTCTGGACCTGAGGCAGCACAGACCCTCCTCGAGGAACTGCAATGCCAGGGCACATCCGAACACGGCCCTCCCGCCTGCCGCTCTCTCCGCCCCTTCTCCTTGCGGCGGCATGCAGGTGCGGTTCCCCAGAGGCGAGAAACTTGCCTGTCGCTTCCCCTGCCTGCAGTCCCCGATGGCCGCGGGAGAGGCAGAAGAGCGGCCGCGCCCCCGCCGGGCCCCGTTTACCCCGGGGACGATCTCCTGGATAGCCTGACGTTGGATCTGCCGCCGTGGGTCGCTTCCCGGCGGGGAACGCGGCGGCGCAGCCCCGACAGCATCTCCAGGGCACGGCAGGACCGAGCGGGGCGGGAGCGGAGCGGAACGGGGCGGCCGGGCGGGGCGGCGAAGCCGCCTGAGCGCCGGTCCGTTTTCTGCCTGGGGTCCTCGCTTGTCAGTCGCGAGCCGCGTCCCCGAGCGGGGCTGCCCGCTCCGGTGCCTGCCGCCGCCCACGAACCTGCCGCCGGCGCCCGGCGCCGCCGAGAGCCCCGCCCTGTCCCCACAGCGGGAAGCACCGCGGCGAGACGGCACTGCGAGCGCGGGGTGGAGGTCCGGGTCGGGGTGGAGCTCAGGCAACAGGATAGACGCCTTTCTGAAGCAGGGGGCCTCGCGCCGCCATCTTTAGTGTTGTCCCGGCTCATTTCTGTTCCTGGCAGCGCCATCTTTACTTTGGCTCGGCGCACTTCCGGGTCAGGGCCGCCATCTTTCTGTACGGCATTGGAGGACTTCTGGTCCGAGGGCCACCATCTTCCTGTACGGCCTCGCAAGACCTCAGGTCCAGGGGGCGCCATCTTTGCTAAGGCGTTGAAAATATTCCCGTCGCTCGCACTCCCGGTCCCCGACTTTACCTTTTGAATGTCCCTCACTAATTTCTACGGTTTCACCTCAAAATCTTCATTTTAGTCTTCCCTCCCACCCCGGGAGAGACGGGAGACCACAAATCCCGTCGTGCCCCGGGAACCGGCCAGGCCCCAGCGCGGCCGCTCCTTCCCCGCTCGGTGCCGCCGGCTCGGCCGCCCCCTGGCGGGCCCCGCCCACTTGAGCGGGCCTCCGAAGGGCCGCGGCCCGCTCCCCATTCTCCGCTGCCCTTCCCATCGGTGCGGGTGGGACCCGAGGGACTCCAAGAGCAGCCGCGGCAGGCACCGCGCGTGCGCAGGTCCCTTCGCTGCTGTGCCGCCCTTAAGTTCAGCAGGGGACGCTGCAGTGTCATGAGAGTCACTGCGCATGCATCATTCCCTCTCTTGCCTGCCCTGAATTATCACGTGATCGCGGGCGTCTCGCAAGTGACTGCGCATGCACCGACACCGCAAGCTTGGAGCCCTCCCCACCACGTGACCTTTTGGCTTCGCTTTCTTACTGCGCATGCCTCATCTACTTTTCTGGGGCCCCATCCATTCTGGGGCCCCTCCCTGACATTTCGCGGCTCCCCCTCCACTTTTTCGGGTCCCTAGGGTTCCTCCCCCCACGTTTTGGGGTCCCCTTCTCACATTTTAGGGGTGACCCCAATTTACGGTTCGGAGGGCGGGGGGGGAGGAAATAACCGGGGTGCCCAGGAAAGATTTTTTTTCTCTTTTATTTCACTTTTCATTTTATTTCCTTTTTAGTTTTCTTAGTTTTAATTTTTTTATTTTCTTTTGTATTTTATATTTCCTTTTTTATTTCCTTTATTTTTTATTCTCTTTATTTTTCATTTTCTTTTCTTTTATTTCTTGTTTGGTTTTTATTTTTTTATTTCTTATTCTTCCAGAGAGGGAAACACTGCAGCTCCTCTGGGCCAGAGAAAGGCTCCCCTGCTCTTCCCTTCAACACAACGCCTGCAATTAGTGCCCTGGAAGCCTGGTCCACTCATTCCAGGGACTGAGGTTCACCCAGAGGGGCTTTGCCAGCATCAAATGGAAATTACATCGTGGGCAAATGCACTTCCGGCAGGACTGCCGGGATGCTCCTGGCCAAGGTGACCGGTCTGTGGAAGTCAGACCACTGCCCACCTGGGGGGATTTTCAGGGGGATACTTCCAGGTTTTATTCTCCAGAAACTCCAGTTCTTTCTGGCACCACTTGCTTCAGTCTTCTCCTGTTGGAAGAGGTCACTTAGTCCTTTTAGGGGCCAGATTACCAAAGCCCAGGTAATCCATTCCCTCCACACCTCCACACCCCCTCACACTCAGGGGCCTGCCCTGCACAGGCCCTAGGGCTGGGCTTCAGGCCGTCTGTCCCAAGGCTGGAGTGATGCTGCCATCATCTCGTGGCCACGAGTGGCACAGAAAGCCCAGGGCCAACAGCAACTCCAGGCAGCTGCAGGCAGATGTTATCCCTTCCCAGCTTTTTGGGAGTGGGGAGGAAGGTGCCTTTCCCCATCCGGCAGCGGCAGTCGCCCCCGCCGCAGAGCCTGCCCCGATCCTGGGCCTTCTTGGAGACAATTCCCCTGTCACAGCCCACTTCCTGCAGAAAAATGTTCGGGTTGAATGTGTTTTTTGTTGTATTTTTAAATTTTTATTTTACTGTTAAATTTTGTTATTATTCTCTTGAAAGCCCGTGGAAGGCGGCCACCGCCCCCCCCACCCCCGTCCCCGGCCGGTCGCTGCGCCTGCCCTGCCCGGTGGCCCGAGCGCTTCAAGCGCTGGCCCGGCCAACACCTCGCTCTCCATGGGCGCCAGGCCCTGGGCGCCGGGCCCTGCCTGGCAGACATGGCTGGGAGCGCCACTGCAGCCACACGCCCCCTCACCCCCAAGGACCTCAAGGACTCCCAGAGTGCAGATTGGCAAAAATAAACGTCCTACAAGACTGACGTTGCTTTTCGGAAGTCTTTCCTTCATTTTTAAGAACGATAAAGGGCCCAATCAACAATAAACGTTATTTCATCCCTTTGCCAATAATAACCCTGCAGCTTGTGCCTTCCTTTCTGCGCTGACAGCAGACAGCTTGGATGCCCTGATTGAAACATTAGACAGCTCTCTCCAACGTTTCTTAAAACCTCCTTAATCTTTCCCGCGGTAAAACCCACCCTTTTCATTTGATCGAGAAAAACCAAACCAAACCAAAGAAACCCCACTATCTGACATGGGTCACAAGTTACGGGAGAGACTCCAAGCCACAGGAGAAAAGCTAACGAACAGGTGAAGTTTCAAGGAAATCCCACGTCTTCCAACATCCTGCTCGTGTTGCCTACGCTGCCCCCTGGATATGACCCACTCCCAGGCATCTGCCCAGCAGCAGACACCACCGCTGCCCTCTCAAACAGCAGCACTTCAGCCACAAGCCACCACTGTTCCAAG